CCAAGGCAAGTTGAACCCACACTTCAACTGAACAAAATGTTTGGAAATGATTCCACTTACCTCCTTGGAATTGGGGAATATCGCTTCATCGGAAAGGATTAGGCTCAACTCCGCTGATACAATGGTGTGCTTCGGCACTGCATAACCTCCAATTTCCGCATCTGCGCTTGAAAATCTCCAGAAGTTCATATTTAGTATAGACGCATGGCGTTGGATTTCCTTAAAATACTCTTATCTGAGTACACTGCGTCCCATAATTATAAGCAGAGTCAACCCTGCGTTGCGCAGTTCTCAACGGCCACGTTGCGCAGTTTCGCCCGATTAGACACGTTCTCTCGCGCGAACATTCACACTCGCATGCTCGAGCCGTCTGTGTCTCCGCCCATACAGCGTGCGTTGAGGATCTCTCAACGTGCCGTTGCGAACTGCGCAACGCAGGGTTGACTCTGTTATAAGTCCACCTAAGAATTTTACAAAATCTCACCAATATAGATGTTTTGAAAAAAGTCTCCAATGTGACAATGTATCGCATATAAATACGCAATTGCCTATGAACATCAATTTTCTATTTGAGATCACAGGAATTTTTTCAATAATTTTTGTGTAAAAGGCCACTCAGCCGACGTCCCAAAATTATACGTTCCACGAAACTTTTTCATTGTGGTAACACTTCACTTCTTAAGGGGACAGCATAATAAAAACTGCTGTTGGATTTTGAGAAAGGAAAAATGTCGCAAAAACTGTTGAACAACGCAATCGCGCCAGATTTGGTCCAAATTCACGCCAAGCTTCAAGAATTTCTTCGGTTTCACATGATATGGAGTTTAGAAGAGCTCTAAAAGGTCTCTCATTACTTTTCGATGGAAACAAAGGCCGTGTCACAGAGAAACATCCACTTTCATCCAACGGTGCTCTGTCATCGAATCTTCTTGAGAACTTAATGCCTCAACGGACTTTTGTTTTCATGCATGTGAAGGAATCCCAAGATCATTCTTGATTGGAAAATGTGGAAGGCATCATCTGTCAAGGAACGTGCGAAAATTGGGCTGATTTTTGCATGAAAATGCAGCCGAGCCGACTAGGCAAGGTCCATTTTTGCTTGCTATGCATGAGTGTTTGTCTGTCTTTCTTTTCGCAGTTTTTTAGCAGTGCTTCACTGAGAAAAAAGCCACCAAGGGAAAAGTAAACGTGCAAGGAAAACTGACAAATGCTAGAGCACATTGAGCAGAATCGTGAACCTTACTTCAGTCAGCTCGGCTGCACTTTCATGCAGAAACCGGCCCAATATTTGCCATGGTTTCTAGACACAGATGATGCCTTCCATATTTTCCACTCGAAAGTAAATTGGGATTCCTTCACACGCATGAAACATTGTTCGTTGAGGCATTAAGTTTTGAAGAAGATTCGATAGCAGAGCGCCGGATAGAAGTAGATGTTTCTTTGTGAAGAGCACGGCTTGGTATGAAGGGTGTTTCTGTTGTGACACGGCCTTTGTTTCTATCGAAAGACAATGGGAGGCTTTTCGAGCTCTTTTAAACTCCATATCATGTGGAATACGTGAATAAATTCTTGAGCGGCTGCTGTAGACTTTGCGTCAAATCTGGCGCGATTACGTTGCTCAACAGTTTTTTCGACAACCTGACCTTTTTCGAAATCCAATAGCAGTTTTTCTTGTGCTGTCCCCTCAATAAGTAAAGTATTGCCGTAATGAAAAAGGACCGTGGAACGGAAGTGAAAAGGTAATCAGTAAACTTTTCGAGTGTGGACATATAATGGTGACACCGGATCTGATAGTGGCCATTATTTCTAAACTATCACTGAGAATGTATGCTATCAGTTTTAGGGGGCAGCAGGGTCAACCCTACGTTGTTACGAGTAACAACGGGGGGGTCGTACCTGGTTGAGTTTGTAGGAGGGGGGGTCGTACCCACTTTAGTCGCTCGAAATCACGTGGTGGGATTGAGGAGAAACTAAGATTTCGTGGGTAGTAGGCTGGTTGTGCGAGTGGAGGGCGCGCAGGATAAAATTTGGCGGGCGTATATAGGCCCCTTAGAAAAGGAAGTAGTGGGAGTATAGGTAAGAAATGGGTTGAAATGGCGGAAATAGAAGGAAATTTCCGGAGATTTACCTGTTTCAGAGTGACTATATACCCCCCGCTCGACGGCATTTTTGGAGGAAAAAGTGGGCGGGGTTTTGATGGAAGATGGAGATGGTGGAGGTAGGGAAAAGGGGGTCGTATCAAATCCACGTTGGGGGAGGGGGGTCGTAAAAATTTTTCGAAAAGTAACAACGATAGGACAGACCCTGGCCGGATAGCGAGATCTGATAAAGCCTCGCTGAGCTCGACGGTGACGGCAGATGACGTCATATTCTGAAGACGGTGGGGCAGGAAGGAGGGCCTGCTTCTGCTTTTGGGGGACACCTAAGGAATATTCTGCCGTAAAACATTCATCAACAACGGCATCCTGTGCGACGAAAAATTTGATGATGTGCGCCATGGTGAAAGGTGGCTTTTTTTTGCCTTCCCCCCACCTCCCTGTATATTCGATATTCGCTCTCGTATAACTTCGTATAATGTATGCATATATCCGTGTTGTTGTTGGTCTGTCATACAGGTTTTGGTGTACGGCGGAATTGGATAAGCGCTTACGATGTCCTGAAGACGACGAATTTTTCGAAAGAACGACCCAATAGATCTATTCCAGCGTAACAACCTGTGTGGCTTAGCACTAGCAACACGGAACTCTTATTTAACACATTGCGGACCGCCCTTATACGAGCATCTCCATACATTTTTCATGTTTTAAAAAATGAATCATCATTAATCTATCAACAATTTTATCAGTGATGATACTTATGCTTTCCTGGTTCTGAAAATGAGTGCAAGCACTTAAGGAGCATTGAAAAATGCCAAATAAATCAGATAAAACTATGATCTTCCGCTCCAAATCGTGCGCCACATGGTGGCGCACGTGGTACGCAATGTGTTAAGTTGTCAGAAAGGAATTTCAGGGAAAGCAATAAAAGCTTCAGAAGTGCAGGTTGGAACTGACAATTAGCGCAAGATTTACTGATCATTCTCAGATAAGAAAGAGTCATTAGTTCTTCGAAGCTTCTTTCTAATGAAGCAAGTTTGATGGTCACATATCAGTTGGTCCCTACGGCAAACCTCGCTGGTGATGGAAGAAAAGCAGAGATTTGGTGGTATGATCCGTTTCCCTAATCGTAATTTTAACGGTGTAAGCGCATTACCTGCTTCGTAAAGTTGAAAACCATTCAGAGAAGAAACAACAATTGTTGCTAAATGCACTGAAATGGTTAGAAGTTTTCTTTCCTTCTTTTGCAATTAGTTCATCCGCCTTGTAGTTTCTCAGTTTTCGCTATCTCTTGGCGGATCTTAGCTATGCTTACATTCTAATCGCTTGAGAAAACGTTTATCTTCAGGGTTATGCTTACATACTTATGTGCCTCCGCCGACGTCTATGGTATAAACCAGAGGATGGACTTAGAAGTGGAACGTCTGTGGTACGAGCCTGTCAAGATCTGCGTGCAACCTCTTCTGGTGACAAGATCTTCATCTAGACGACGGTGCCTTCGCCTCGATTAGGACAAGACTCAAGAACTTGTCAGTCATAGGTCGATCTGAATAAATACATCTATTATACCCTCGCTAATTCAGAAGCGTGGCCGGTGACTTCGGGTGGTCACTGGAAAGGGGAGCAAGAGCAATAACAAGGGATAATTACAAGAAGGGCTGCCTAGAACCACCACAGCAATGTTCTTCTGTGGACCTAATAGATGTTGACCTTGTCTGAGTTTCCCAAGAAAACAGGTGAGATATTGGTTTAGGGGATAATTTTTACACATCCCCAGTTAATATATGAAGAACCCTGGACCATCTTACCACTTATTTCTGAATTCCAGAAACGGCTCAAAGAAAATTGTTCTCGACCTTGTCCCTTCAAGGCACACTTATAGCATACATGATACGAAGTTAAGAAGATTCTAGCTTTATTTGCGTAGCGGTGAAACTCCAGTTCGGGGGGGGCCACTCCATTGTTTCTCCAATACTCGAGATAAGGATGACAGCGCTCATGATACGTAACCAACTCATTCAGAGTATACTTTTGATAAGTAACGGTGTAATGGGAAAAAAGCCGTGAGATGCTTTAACCTTTCCGCCTGCCATGGTCCAAGGGAACGGTCCTGGACCGGAGAATGGATACCTCTTTCTAGGGCCAAGGGTGGAGGAGCTCCAGGGTGGATGACCTGGTGCAGAAAATTGTATAGGAGGTGGGCAGAATGTGTGATGGACAACATTTACCGGTCCTTATCGAAAGTACGCTCGAAATTAATCGTTTACTTGATATCTTATCCATGGTGTTGGATAGCCCAAAGTACCACTCGTTAGTACTACGGATAAGATAGCACTGGAGTGGCCCCCCCCGAACTGGAGTTTCACCGGCGAGCAATTATACGTCTCTCCAACCAGATTCATCATGTGTTCAGCAGACTTTTGGGATCAGCATGGCCTCAAACCAGTACTAACCCTTTTTGGGAAAAAAACAACGTGCGGTTGAGGCTGCTTTCAAGCGCTGCGCTGTAGTGGTCGCATTAGCTGATTCTGACATTTGGAGTAAAGGGAAGGCAACATTGAATATTTACTCAGCGAACAACGAAGCGAAAGTGTAGTCGCTACCGCAATAGTAAGGCGATCAGGTACGGAGTTTTCGTTTTTATCTACTGGCGTAAGCGATCTTCAAGCCCAGTGGACTCTGACAACACTTTCCCTGAGCCTGCGTGAAACCACCTAAATGTCAAAAATAAGTATTTTTTGGTATGCATGTCTCACCTTTACTGAATAACCGGCTCACCTGGGATGTTGTGCAGAGATTATATCAATTGCATCGAGTGTTGTGGGTTCGTTTCTTGCCCAGCGGACCATAAATCTAGCAAGTTTACGGCTAGTGTTTCATCACTGAAATCAGATCAAAAATACATATGTAAATAACTAGATTTAGCAGTGTAAGTAGAATAGTGAATAATAGTTGTGAGTCATAAGTGACTTGCACTGTGAGTTAGGAGATCGCAGAGAATGAGCCTCTTCTTGGCTAAATTACATCGAATATGTGTTCTTCTTATATTAAATTCTCGGAAATTTGTATAAAATAATAAAAAAACCATATGTCATGGGTCACACTGAAATTATTAGGTTGTTGCGCTATGCATATCGTTTTTATATGTGTATGATATTTGCCGGAACAGCAATAATTTGGCACCCCAGAACAAGAGACGAATATGTATTACCTCGTCATATTTTGCGTAAGCGCGTAGTGTTCAGCAGAAGTAGCAAGTCTCGGAGATTTGAGCTATTTCACCTGTTTCTTGAACTTTTCCACTTTTCAGCCCAGTCAAACGCTGACTCCATGGGTCTGCTAGGCGTCTGGAGCAAGGCAGTGGGGAAATGTCCTCGTAATGAGGCAATTTCAAAAATCAGGTGAGCTTGCACGTACTTTGAGTAGGAGTCACCTCCAGCAGCCCGTTGCGGCTGTTGTGCTGCATACCCCATTGATGCCTCCGTATTTTGCTTGAATAGACTGTGCACGTCCCACCGTGGATTATCCATTGTCATGGCGTAAATTGACGCTACGACTTTAGAAGCGAACTATATGCAAGTTTACTCACACTGTGTTCGAGGCAACCTATCAATTAGTGAAATTTCAAGATTCTCTATCTCTTTTTCATGCTGACGGCACGCTGCATAGCTCTGGGCAGGAATAAAAGTCAGTTGCCAGTTTTGCGAGCGTACGGAGCGCACTAATTGTGTTCAAAAGTCTGTCAAAAGTTTTCAATATCTGCGGTCAGTAAGTGTTCGGGATGTGGTCGATGTTCGAGGCTGTGATCGGAAATTCACGAACACATCAACAGATATTTTGGTTATGATTGGAAATGTAGTTTAGGGGGGGGGGGGGCACTTCATTAATGCCTAATCGATGACTAAAGCTAATCAAAGTGGAAGTTGGCAGAGCGCATCGTTATCTCATCAAACATTTCAGAACAAGTGCAAGCGTATGTTTTACATTTGAGGATACCGAACGGGCTTAGCGTAATTGAGACCTTGTGTCAGTTGTATGCGCTTGACAGCATTCTCATACCTCCTTACACCTTAACCTCTCTACAAAACTCAGAAACGCGGAAAGAAGTAGGAATCAGGAGAGGAAAAAATCATTTCAAATCACCCACTCGAACGTTGTGTCCATCACGCCATTCATAGCCTCTTCCTTCATCTTGAGAATGAACGCATCTGCGTAGTCCCGTGGTTCGGTGTCCAGCAGGTGAAGTGCCGTTTTCGATAGCTTTTTTCCTTGAAAATTTTTGATAGCAATCATTCCACAGGTGTACCGTCCTGCTTTCTGCAGAGCTACGTTTAAAGCATGTAGGTATCAAATTACAAGGTGAAGTACGGATAACGAGATTGCTTGATATGTATAGCCAAAAAGTCCTCAAAAAAATCAAATGATGCTTTCAAACCTCTCTTCAACCTGCTTCTTGAGAAACTCCTTAAATGCATAAGTTGGCTCTAGCAAAGGGGTTTCCACCATCTGTTGATGAATGGAATGTCAAGCATCCATTTCTTTACAAACACATCCATAATAGAAATATTGTTCACCGCTTCATCCAGCCGTTTTTTCATTTCCAGAGAATGGCGCTTCATCAGCCTGTTGAGAAAATTTTCATCAATGTCCTCTAACACATGAAGATATGTAGGTCAAGATATGGTTAGCGAGCTCCCTGCGCGAGATGAGCTCTGGAGCAAGATACGCGACGATTCTGGATGACTAGGGACTAAAACTTAATTTGCACCGGCATATTGCTGTTAGCGGAATAACATAATGGTATTCATATCCATTTGAGTGCTATTAAACTAGTTAAACTGTGTTATAATCAATGTATGATATTTGATACTTCTGACAGTAACAAAATCATCGAATAGTGACTTTACTCAAGCGACCATGAAAGGAGCTTCTTAGGATCTTATGAAATGGCATCCATGGCGACAACGAATAGTGTGCGAAGAGCGGCTCGGTGTACCCTGACGAAACTGATGGGGAATCCACCGACGGTAGCTCAATTTACCATTTGCACTCGAACTCGTTGGCGTTAGTAAAGTGACGCCACGCACTCAACAAGGTTCCTTCACGCAGTGTTTTATAAGCATTAACAATATAACGTCAACGCCTAACACCATCGAAACATTCTCAAGTCAAGAAGGCAAGATTGCACCGGTCTCGTTTTCGCTGATGTTAAAACGATTGAGGAGTATATCGCATCTATGGTGGCTGTCAGTCCAGCACGGAAAACACACTCGCTGGGGTCAGATCGCGATGTCAGGGAATACGGTGTTCTTACAGTATTGCTAAAGAATTTCCGGGTGTGCAAGAGCAGGCAATCGGACGTAGCTCGTGCAGCGAGCAAAGCTTCTCTTCTTCCAAATCTAGGAAATACGTTCGTGCTTTGTTCCACGGTCTCATGATCTCCTCTCTGCTCGACTAGTTGAAGAATTGGACCATTCAGGCAGGAAGCAGTACACTGACTCTCCATACGTTGACCGCCAATCACAGGCTAGGCTGCTGCTCTTTGGTTTCATTTTATCCGTTCCTTCTCAGTGCCTCGCGGTATTTTCTAGAACGGTAACATGCATCTTAATTCTTACCGGCTCTTAAGTTTTGTTATGCAGTAGTTCGGGTCACGAGCAGAAATACTACGCCTGGGCAGCAATTTCCAAATTTCATCAACGGTCGTACCCGCCAGCAGCTGAATATGAAATACCATGGCAGCCTCCTTTACCATCAATCGCCACCATGATTCTAGATGATCCACATCGCCCTATCTGTTTCAGTTTCGGAGAAAGCGGGGTCTTCGGCCTTCAAATCGGCGGTCGATGTTGCTTGGTGATGGTCTTCACGACTGTCACAAGCTCTCGATCGCATTGTTTGGCGAGAATAAAATCGATGTGCTGCTACTAGGTAGAAGGTGATTAGGTGGGATATCATATTTCAAAAATCGTATTCAGCGATGGTGGTGATTTGTTGTGGGGTGGGTTAAGTTGAAGAATGCCATCGCATCGGTAATCGGTTACCATATGCAACCACATTTGACAAGAACAAGCGTTTTTTGCAGCGCAGCGTGAACATTAAAGGTCATTCTGCACGAAATGGATCAGCTCTCGTGACGGACGTCTGTTGTCTTCACCAGTAATGCGTCTCAGCATTGTCTTCGGCTCGCTGGAAGCAGCCAGCTTCTGCGAGCATGTTCTCAGATAATAACTTCGGTTATCGATACATATTGTATAAGTACAACTTAAAGGCAAAAGTCAGGCTCGTGTTTGGGCATTATGGCGCCTGAAATTGAGTGTAGAGATGGGAGGTGGAACGACAGTGAAGAAAAAACGCAAAGAAACCGTCGACAAGACCGAAATCGAAACCCCTTCCTTCTAGCAGTGAAGGAGGCTTGCTCGGGGGAGAGCCACGTCCAAACGAGTTTTCCGGATATGCCAGCCGTTCCATCGGTTGATACGGCAATCAACCTAGCTGATCTCACACGTTAGGCCAGCCACGCACCACATCCCGCGGTGGGCGGGACCAGCTGATGTAACAAACCCATCGCTATAAGTTGTAGGCCAGAAACCTTGACGGCGCGCAATCTCGAGTCAGGAGTGCGGCAACACCCCTCTGAGCGCATTCCTGGAAATTTTAGTGATGGAAAGGCCTTCTATGGTCACCTAATCCTGACTCGTGGCTTTAAGCGAGTTATCTTAACTGTAGCTTACAATCGACTTTCACATAGGCGCGTTAGAAATCATTATTTCAATACCTTGTGGTCGTTCTCACGCCGCCGCAAACAACGGGCTTCGAAGCAGCAACCAATGGCATGATTAAGAGTGCTGCCAAAACGCTTCAGCTGTTCAGCAGTGGTGCGGGCGTTGGTTCCGAAAAGTGATAACAAAGTGCGACCTGAACATAGTACGGTGATGCGTACAGGAGAGGTGATAGGGCCGATAATTACGTGGGAACATATGGGATCGCTCAAAACCGTGGTTCTAGATAACGCATTTCACTTCAGAATCATCTCATTGCGTTGTTGTCATCAACATAAAATACCGTTCGACCGCTATATTCCCAAAATCCCTAAGAATGTATGATGGATGTTTAGCGATATACGATATTGGGTATTTCTATTGCAAAATCATTGGCATCAATATTATTCGACGCTAAATCATCCTGACATCCAATGCATGGTGGCTGTTTACAGACACCACTGTAGCTCCGCACTCCACCGCGCGTATCAGACGGTTGGTTAAAAATGGGCATTCTGTAGAAGGCCAGCTAACGCATTTCACGAAGAAAGTTATTGTTTAGCGGAGAACCTTAACGCCTTCCTTCAGGCTGCCAGCCTTTACTGGAGCATTCGTGCTCATGCACGCAGATACGTTGTGATGGAGCTAAAACTATGCATAAATATAATGTCATAAGTACCTCGGGAACTTGAACAGAAAATAGGATTCTGTTGATAATGTTCCTAACGAGACGGTCATAGAACTCAGTCACACGACCACGACGGAATTACCAGGTGGTAATAGATCTATCTGGCTAAACCTGAAAAACGTAGATGAAGAACACGTTTGGAAAGTTTCGGAGAAGTCAGATTTCCCCTCGCTCTTCTTGGACCTAAACCCAGTGTTCCAAGAGCCAAGAAATCCCGTGGTTCGCATGAAAGATTGTCACATTTTAAATGCCACCGTCTCTTGCTGCAAAAACTCAAGAAATTTCTCCGTGAGTGTTGGGTACTCGACAGGAGGCTCGTCGCAGAAAGACGCAAAAACGGCATCAGCGGAGACCAACGCATTGCCGTATTGTGCGATGTGGCGCCGCACTAGAGTTTTCTATTTGAAGCAACATGCCCAGAAGAAGTCGTGTCAAATCTACTCAGTGGGTGAGGTAGAGTTGCCCACGTAGCACAGATGTACCGTTGTTCGCGGCTCGAAAATGCGCGACAAGGGCGCTAGGGTTTTACAGAAGTCAGCTTTGGTGTCTGATCTTAGCATTTGAACGACTTACGTGGCGCACACTTCATGACACGTAACGTGGATTACCGCGTAGCAGCTAGTGGGGTTCAATACGCACGGCCTTAGTGATCCATGAACAAGCAAGTTCGGACAACTCGTCTGGCCCCATCCTTCTTATCTAGGAGACGTTTGGGTTGTCGAGCTCCATCAGCCTGTTTTTTTTTGCTCTTTGTTCAATTTTTTTAATCAGTTGGGCATGCACAAACTTCATCTTGGTCGATAAGCAGCAGACAAAATCGTGCTGCACTCGATCACTGCCCTTCTGCGCTCTATGCCTTCCGCCGCGGTGACTGGGTAGCATGACGGTCTTATTACCGACTTCCGAAAATAAGACGCCATTAGGTTACCAAATGCAGTAGAGTCAAGTCGCTTGAGCACAATGGACGTATTTTGTGCCTGCTCCAGTACTAGACCTAACCAGATCTGCCTATCACTTATCTCGTCTCGTTAGGAAAGAAAAACTGTTGTAGAACTGTTTTATGGCATGATAAATACCGCTCGGACATTTTGGCGAACGCCGCTAGGTAGGCCAACATGAAAATCAGAACGTGATGATCCCTACGGGCACTATCTATCACAATGGACGTAGTCATGTATGTAAGGCGTGTTTTTCCAGATATCTACGCATAAAATACGGCAAGAAATCCCCTCCTTTATTCTGTTAACCTCTTTTTCTTGGTGCCCATTCTCAGCATCTCACTATGTGAGATACAGTGGCCACCCGTGAACAAGCCGACGAAAATGAGCTATAAGCATGTAAAAGAAAAACATTCAAAGCACCGCTATGTATTACCAACCTCAGGTTGAATTCATCCATAATTCGCTCTTCCATGAGATTTCTCCCCATTCCAAAGTTTCTTAGCACTTGAAGAGAGAACCTTCTCTGCTCTTGCCATATACGACCGTTTGACACAATTCACACCGCGGTCTCCTTAATTAGTGTTCTCCACATTCTCTTACAAAAAAATCGTGTTTTGATGGGAGACATTCGGGTACTGCTCACAAAGGAAAATTTCACAATAATGAAGATAGAAATGACGTATGAACGTTCTAAGTCTGTCTTCCATCCTCAACAAAAGGACATGAAGAAAACTACTGACGCTGGAAAAGTGGTGCTGCTGTTGAGGTGAAAAGGCGGCACACTTTGCGCCTTGGCATAGAATGCAAGTAAGAAGGCTTTTGACAGGAGGCCTCCAGCGGCGAGAAGCAGAGACCAGACGGGTCAGACGAACGATTCATCAGCTCTATTTGTGCGATGATTGGACGTTGGTACATGTTATTCAACATGGCGCATGAACCACTACAGTAACGCGGCTGCGTACGCGGTGGTCCGTCTCATCTCTGGCTTCTCGCGCCCCGAGGGCCTCTTGTCGCGGCGAGCACCATGGGATGAGAGGGATAGCGAGGAGCGAGACCGAGCAACCTTGAGTAAATTGATAATAGCTGACAGTCCAATTACATTCAAGTTAACCTAAGAGGCCTCAGCTCATGTCGAGAATATTCGTAATCGGTGGGAAAGCACTTTTTGTACCTCGTGAGCAATCAGCCGCTTTCGAATCTATTCAAGAAAGAGCTTGATTGATAAAGCGTAGTCATGAGATGGCTTTTCAAGTGACGAGAGGCTCTTGAATTAGAAAAGTGTCCCACTTGCCGTTGGCAAGGTGCTTCCAAGCGATCGGAACCTAATTGAGAAAACTTAGAGTTCTATGCAGGTCAGCTCGGAGGTTAGAGAAAAGAAGATAAAGGGGAGCCAGGTTCAGGGGAGTAAGAAGTTCTACGAATGGCGTAATGATGGCCGTAGTGAGGAGGGTGATCTTCAAATTTAAGAACTCATTCCATGCGCGAACCCTATTGGTCGCAGTTATGTTGGACTTCGCGGTTCCATACGCTTTATGAAATTGCCCTTATCCATCTGAAAAGACCCTACTTCCTACATTGTTCAGATTGTAAATAATAATATTGTACCTCGAGCTTCGCGCATTAGAGCTGGAGACCATCGATCCTGATAATTTGAGCCATAGTGAACCATAGCCTCATGACTGAGCTTGTAGTCAGCGATATGACGGACGGCATTGGTCCTATCCAAATTGTGAATACTGGACCATATTTCTGGAAAGATTACTACTGACTTAAGAATTATGCAAACGTTAGTTCTTCAACTACCACCCCAGTTCAATAATTTATGGTCTAAGCCACTATTTTTTTGCTATATTACTATAATTTCTAGCTTTTGCCTATTATTTTCACCCAAGGCACTCATAAGGCAATCTCCACAATGATAAAATTGATCAACTTACATTTCACTCTTTCTCAAAAGCTCACCTTCTTGAAATATTTCAGTGCTGGAACTATTCCTCCATATTTATATCCATAGTAGAGAATTTGCGGTAAGTTACCAATGAGCAGTACAGGATACGGCCCTGTAAAGATTCCTAACGCATGAAAACTACCGAATTTCACATTTTTCTTCTCAGCATCTTGAGCTGCAATATAAAAGCTAGCGGTGATGACAAAGATAATTCTGAATTTTTGAAAGATCATTTGGAGCTATGCAGTGAGCTCTGAACTTCTTGAGCCACTGTCACTACCCTAGCTAATGCGAAACAAAAGCCAGCCCAATAAAGGATAAAAAAGGATAAAGCATTTGCCGTTGATCAATCCCTTTTTGGGATGCGGCACGCATTCTACTTCCATTTGTACATTCGCAGTGGCATTTGAATGCGATGTGGCCTATACAATGACTTGCGGGGCCAGCCGATGTTCAAAGTCAGTGTTTTTTATCCTCCCAGACAAGTCTGGTACCAATTAACCGACCCCGGAGGGATGGAAGGCTTGGTTGGCCCGGGCGACTCACACGACCCAGGATTTGATCCCGGACCGCTCGCGTGGTGAGCGCGCCACTTGTCACTACACCACTTCCGCCCCTAAGCCAGCCTCGAAGACATCAAAAAAATGGCAAGCCCTTTAATTTGAAAAAATCACTTCAAGACCCCTTCTGTAAAGCAATCATAATTATGCTATAGAATTGTATCACCAAAAACGGGCAACGTCTTCCTGATTTATATGCCACTAAAATAATTCCGGAAATCCTGAGTTTTGGAAAAGGAGAATCATCCCCATGCTGCATCCCCACATCGAACTGCAATGTGCGCCAAAAGAGAACGAAAGGGAAAAAAAAATGAAATGAAATAATGAAAAGTGATGTAATGAATAAGAGTGATTCACCTGGGGGTAATTGCGTTGTCCGTCTCCATTGGTTAGATAGGAAGTATATCAAAATCGCTATCAGTGCAGCTGTTATCAGCATTCTTGTCAGTACTCCTTAGTTCCAGCTATTCCTGATCAAGAACAAGTTACTTCCTTGCTTCTTAAAGGCAAGATTCAGGATTGAATTATGAGTTAATTCCACTTAAATGTGAAAGTAGGGGTAGGTAGTGGACCGCCAGTGCAGAAAAGAGAAAAAGAAATCGTGAAATGCTTAGGAAATACGAGCCATTTCCTCTACGGTGCGGAGAAGTTCAAAAGGCCGGCAGGGAGATGAGAGATAATGTGAGCGCGGAGAGCGCTAGAGAAGTCTAAGTAGAGAGAGCATAGCAGATCAACATTCCGACGCAGTCAAGATATCGAGCGGTGGGCGGAGCGTGTCGCAGCAGGTGGAGCGTGTCAAAGTTCTTTAGTGTAAGGTTAGATAACCTGGATTCGTGCGGTGCGAACGAAGTAGTGACCTTTACTGTGCGTGAAAGACAAGCCGGAACTTATAAGGTTTATTGAACTGTTGAAAATTAAGAAACAGAAATTTTTGGAAAGATCACTGGAATCGGAGACGCGGAGGCGAGTCGTAGTTGGCAAACTCGGGCGACCACCGAATACGGGACCACAGTCGGGTGCACGGCGCGAACTATTCCTTGACACAAGCCACAAAGGCTTCCTACGTTGAGCCACTGAGGCTCTTTCAACTCACTGCCACTAAGGCTTCTTCCAACCAGCCACTTAGGCTCCTTATAATCTGCCACTTAGGCTCAATTCCTTCAGCCACTAAGGCTATCTCTCGCTCTCCTCTATCGAGCTTTGGCCCTCCTTCTTACGGGCCCCTGCGGCTCCTAACCGCACTTACCACTCTGGCTCCTGAACCCCTTTTATAGGTGCATTCCCGCCCGAACCGTTTCCCTCTGGCAAGGTGGTCTCCTATGACCCCGCGCGATCGCCTCCTTCTCGACCTACCGTGCTCAAACCAGCTGATCATAGCTGGCGTCTCAAGGCAGGCATGCCTTTCCCTAACATGCCCCCCCTCGCTGAAGTCGATGTCCTCATCGACCGTTCTTCTTCTGCTAGTGAATTAGCGCGATGTGACTTTCCAAAACAAACGACATCTTTGAACTGCCTTGATGCAGATCTACATGAGCACACATTGCAATTTGTAAGCCCCTGCATCTCTGAAAGGTTTTTTCTGAACGGTTTCCATCGTCACCTTACTTTTTCTTATCTTGTGTCCTCTTCTGCATTCCTTGTCCTCACTGACCGCACTGTTAGATGAGTACAATGCGACTTTTTGATCTTGCTTGGCGCAGCGGCTATTTGTTTCCCCTTTCCCATCGGGCCATTTCGTTTTTCCTAGTTCCACTGCAAATATATCACGATCTTTTTGGATGACACACGACTGACCCGCGCGGTGATATGCTTGAACGTCTCTATGCTACCGCGGCACTTTTTTACGTACTGCTCTATCTCCGCTGTTGGTTTCCATCTTTACCTTACTTTCTTCCCTCCTGTGTTCTCTTCTGCATTTCTTGTCCTCAGTGCTCGCACCAGTGGGGAAGATCAGTGCAAGTTTTTGATCTTGCTTTGTGCGGAGGCTATTTGCTTCCCCTCTCCTATTCAGCCATCTCTTTCTTTCTAGTTCAGCTAAAATTTTATCCTGATCCTTAACTCTCACCACGGCTGACCTGCGCGGCGATACACATCCACGCTTTATTACCGTCATACTTTTCACTTCTACTCTGTCCATTCGCTGCTCGCTACTTCTCTCATTGTCCGCGACTACGGAAAGAACCACACCTAACTTACTCAGGGCATTAGTACCTAGAATAATTTCGCCGCCTTGACTTGGAACTAATGTGAAACGGTACAAATCCTCGATTTCCTCCTTCTAGCTCCGTCTCAATATGCACTGCTCCGAGAAATCTCATCCTTCTGTCGGATGCATCGAAAACAGGCGCTAGCTGGGACTTCTCAGTCAGCTTCAGTGCGTCAACGTCAATTCCCCTATTTTGCGCTTTAGCTAGAATTTCCACTGGAATTACACTAACCATCGACCCTGTGTCGATCAATGCTGGATTCTTGCTACCCAGTAGGGTCACCTGTTTCACAACTCGGCCACCTACTAGATCACATAGGTTCCCTTCTTCTCGTCTAACTGTCATCCCCAGACTGCGAGCCTGCTTTATGATCTCTGACAGGGTAAGTTTCTCAGCGTCTTCCTGTTCCTTGACACGATTCACTCTTATCGATTGCTGAGGACAGTGTCTGGCTATATGGCCATATTTCAGACACTTGAAACACTTTCTTTTCTCGGTATCCGCTAGCGGAGACCTAGGCGGGATGTGCTGCATTTGTCTTTGGCTTTCGCTGCCAAAATTTAAATCTTCGTGGTAGTTGTCTCGCCCGTACATTTCCTCTGCCCTATCCATTTTCCCTGTCATGTACTCCTCTCCCTTGTGAGAGAAGGTGTCCTCCTTTGCTATACTTATCTCTTGACAGTTTCGATATTGTGTGGCCCTCCTTCTCCACTGGTCAACACTTGATCTCCTACCTACCCCGAACATGACCTTAGACTGTTCTATGCTCAGCGCTAGTTGCTTCACTTCCTCATATGCCTTGCGAGGATCCACTCTGTGCAAAGCTCCTACCAGTTGGAAGTGTTCCGGCCAATCACTGAGATTATCCAGCAGGATCTGGCGTATTCCAACGAGCGATCCTCAATGGTACAATCTGGGTTGGCCTGTCTTCCCAGGTTTTCCAACACAATACAGAAATCGGCCACCTCTTGGCCAGCTCTCATTCTCAAGCTCCTCAGTTCTGTGAGGGCTCTCATCCTTCCTGCTGTCGACTCCTGCGACAGTAGCCTGGTCATTTCCCCAATGACCACGTCCAAACCTCGTTCCTTGGTTACTCTTGGAAGGGCCGTGAAAATGTTCTTTGCTCGACCACCTAGATGGTCGTCACC